TAGAAGTTTCAAAACAATAAAAATGACTGATCTTTTTTTAATTTTTTTTAAGAATTCCTTCAAAATAATTCTCCAGGGTAGTAGCAAGTATGTTTTCCTCATGAATTTAAACACTTAATGTTGCATCACAAAATAAAGCTGAATGCACAGCATCTATTTCTTCGTGATTAAGTCAATGACACTATGAAAAGTGTTCTGCAAGAAACTTTTCCGACATAGTATTTAATATGTGACTCTAAATATGATTTCAAAATACTTTTCAGTTAAAATGTGCATGCAATGATACAAGGTGATGCTGTTGTATTTAGTAGTACTTTGAGGAGAGCATGAGCAAATAATTGAGAAATAGTTTGAGAAACTATTTTGCGTAGGGATTGCACCACAGGTTTTCTGAGGATTCGAGATTTTTAATAGTCATGTTATAGTGAGTTCAATAATACAGGAATATTGAATTTAATTGACATGTTTTGAAATAGAAGTTATGAGAAATGAAAATACAGCTTACAAAGAAATTTTGAACATAGCTCTTTGGGCAAGTAAGCTTTGTGGTAAAGATTTTTATTCTATTATGGTCAATTTTTGCCACTTTTTTTTCCAATGAAAATTGAATGTCAGGTGTTATACAACTTGGAACTGTGCAGAATGGAATTGATCTTCTGGAATTTATAGTTCTGGGGTTATCAACATATCAAGATTGCTGATTATTGCACTAAACATCTTCCATCCTCAGCTGAAACTGCAAATGATAGAGGAGCCTTTACATTTCTTAAATTTATTTAAGCCAAACTAGAAGCAGGAAAATGCTGTGATTTGAGCCAGCAGGGAACATATTTGGGATTTAAATACAAATGTGGGAAAAGAATAAAACTGATGAGTGACTAATATGAGAAAGTCTTTCCTTGTGTTTATATTGAACAAATACATCAAAGTGCTGTTTAAAGAAGGCTGATTTAAATAGCAGCACTGGGTAGGTGACTGTAAGCTTGTTAAGTCTGAGACTTTTCAGTTTGTTTAAACTACTTCTGTTTCCCAAGGAGGGTAATTACAACACAAAGCTTAATGGTCAGAACCATAGATCTGCATGTTTAATGTTCTGAAGTGTGAGATGCGTTTAAGATTAATATTTCTTTTAAGTTATCTTGAAAAATTCATGAAAACCTGTGTTAGCCATTGTGGTGGATTTAAAGATGTAAAATCCATTCATCATTTTCAATCAAGTCCTTGTTCTTCAAAATGAAATCCTATTTCTTTAAACTGATAGGCCTTACAGTCCTCACCAGAAGGCTGTGGTAGTCCAGCTTGAAAGATAGGAGGAAGAGTTGGGGCCGGTGCTGCAGATCACCACCAGTGAGGACCATGGGTACAGGTCCTGAGTTCCAGTCAAACCTTGGAGTCTAGTACTTCCTCCCAGTGAAATGTCTTTGAGGAGTCTTCTAGTAGGAAACCCAGCATGCCTTCATGTGGACCCTGCTCCTTATTGGAGTTAGGATTTGATCCCAGTGTTCTGCAACTCCCAAACCTGTAGACAACATCTTCAGATTTTTCTCATAGTGCTGTAACACCAGAGCTGCTTGGCAGTGAGAACCAGAGCCCTTGACCTGTTGGGCTGCAATGTGGGAGGCTGTAGTCCTTGTGCCTGGGGCAAAGGCACATACCAGCTGTAATGATTCTTGATTCCTGTCTGATTAAATGGGTGGATTTGCCTAGTTTGGATCTTTCTTTATTGTGGTCAATACTGTGTTAAGATTTCATTTCTGCTAAGTGAGACCTTATTTACTTAAGTTCAGTTAAAAGCTGTGTCTGTGATTCCTCTTTTCGATATCAAGTATTGTATAGTTCCAAGCTAATTATGTTGATCAGTCCTGTTCTTCTCTGTATCCTCTAAATGAGTATTACTTGAGCTATTAAAGGAAAGCAGTCATCTTAGGGCAGGATATGGCTATATTATGTTAATACTGTTTACTATTTCACATTACTACCTGGTGAAGTACGCAGGTAAAAAACGTCAGAAAATACAAGTATAAATAGGCTGGGGACAGTGGGAGAAGACTCATCATTAAAAGAAATAACAAAGGTATAACAATATTAGATTGGCTAGGTTGGGGAAGGAAGGGGAGGATTCATCATTATAAAGAAAAAGGTACAATAAAATTACATTGGTTAATAGACATTAATTGATTTTGTTATCTGATCCCGCCTAATCCTTTTTAGGAAAAAAAAAAATAAATCTGTAAGGTGCTTCTGCATAGAAAACACATACACTAAATGGAAATATATTTATTTAAAATATCTTTAGGGACTTGAGAGAGTTTGTTTGCCCACTATGCCTTTCCCTCAGTCCTTGCAGGATAGATTTGAATATTATGTATGTGAGTACATGGGCGTAGTTAGTACAATATAGTTAATTGAGAGAAGATCTCCAGGAACTCCTGCGTTCCAGTCCAGTGAGTTACTGAGCAGCCTGGGGCAATTCACTCAGCTTCTGCGCTCTTTTGCTGGTGCTCAGCTGCCAGCAGCATCTCAGGGAGTAAAAACATGGGGCTGGCTTAATGTGCTCCTGTGGGATTTCAGTGCTTAAAATGTATAGGTATGTGGTATTAATGCATACCTGTGCAGCTAAAGAATCATAGAAACGTTTAGGTTGGAAAGGACCTTTAAGATCATGGAGTCCAACCATTAACTTAGCATGGCCAAGACCACCACTAAACCATGTCCCTAAGCACCACGTCTACACGCAAGAAATAACAAGAAATCTAGTCATAAATTTGCTGTTGGATTAATTTAGTGAGGGAGTACGGTGCCTGCTTCCCAGGATAAAAGAGCCTTCTTTCACTGCTTGGGAGAGTCAGCCATGCCTTTTGTTTGCACATCGATGATAACTTGCAAAATTAGCAAAGAGCGATTCCTTAATAAATCACTACGATTCATTCTTACTTTGTGATACAATAAGATTTGATTGATCTTTCACGTGATTAGCTTCCATGCCAGATTAGCAAATGTGAAGATAAGCTGTCAAGTAGTACCAGTTAAGCAGAAGAGTTACTGTGTTGGGTGTGAGCTGGCAGGGATGCAGAGCCATCAGATCGGTGTCTTGCACGCCGCTGGCGGCACTGGAGGAAAAAGAGGTTGTTGTGTGCGCGGGCAGCTGCTGGTGTGAGCTTGTAGGGCCATGAAGAATGAGGCTGCTGTGCCTTGTCTTGCTGTGCGAGACTCATGCTTCTGGGGGAGGTAGACAGTGGCTGCTACTGTCAGTAAAGAACTGAAAATTTGAAGTGATGTTTGAAAGGCTTAACAATTTTTGTACTTAAAGCTAAAACAAATGATAACTTCCCCCCAAGCAGATTGTTAAATTGAAGTTTTTCTTCCTCTTGGCTTGTTTGTTCACTTCTGTTCAAATAAGCTTAATTTCTAGGTGATAATTGGCATACAAAGGACCTACTTTCAGTTTGCTAATTTGGTTATATGGGAATGTGTATTGTACTGTAATTTTATAGCATTTACAACCTCAGCTCACACTGAATATAAACTGTTTCTAGTGTGTTAGACATTAATCAGATTTTTTTGGGGGGATTTTGATGTTGTTTGTCAAGAAAGATTTTGGATACTTGAAAAGTGCTTCTAAATGAATGGATTATGCTTTTTGCAATGCTGTTCGAAAGGAACACTCTTTTGGTTTTTAAATTAGTTTCTAGGCTGCGTACTGGAAACTTTGACTTGTGTGGTCTCTGAAAAGGTGTTGATTGGAGGAAGCTTTTCCATTAGATGAAGTAATTCAAATGTATTTCTTTATTCATGTATAACTTCTGAATCTGTAACTGCATCTTTTAAATGAAATAAATGAGTTCAAGTGTAATTCAGGCATTTCTCATCAGACTGTTCTTACATTGACTGCAGCAGCAATTACTTTTGTAGCCTTCCCCAGTGTTTTTTTTCACCCTCGCACAGATTTGATACAGGTCTAGAACACTGGGTTTTAACATCTTCACTATAGAAAGCTATAATGATGTGGGTAGGAATTTTTCCCTATCAGGACTCAGTAGGGATTTTCTGTTTTTAAAAGGATTTCACATAGTGTCTGCTTTTTAGTCCCTTTTAAACACAGTTTTGTTGTGTTATTTATCTGATCTGTAGAGCAGAAAAAGGGAACCTTGCTGCTTACAGATGAGCTGCTATGTTTTCAGAAGGTGCAGATGATGCACACAAAGGAAGGCAGGCTCATTTGGCATCAAAGTGGTCCAGTTACTTTTGATAAGAAAAACACAAGTTTCTTTGATAAGAAAAACAGAAGTTAGAGCTCTCAGAATGTAACTAAAATAATATAAAGTCTGAAAATGTATTTGTTCAAAGGCTGCTTTTCAAGCTTTCAATTAATAACCTGCCTATTTAGAGTTAGGCTAAGAAGTGAAAGGACTGTATTTTTAAATATTAATTAGTACCTGGTAATAAAACTGATTTTTGCTGTTGGTTGTTTTTTTTTCCTACCACCTCCTCCCTGTTACTCAGAGTGAGTTTTGTAGAGTTTTGAGAAAATGGAACTTAACTCTCCTAAGTCAAGCAAAGTCTCAGTGCCTTTTGCAGGGCACAGTAGTAAAGGAGGAAAACTTTTTATAGGGATATTTCAGCTAGCAGTAGTGTAGTCTAACAAACAAAAATCTCACTTAGGTTTCAGTTCAGTGGTATAGCACAGAGTGCTTTTACAAAAGAAAAAATAAACTTTGTTAAGCCCTTGTCTTTTGAAGCTATGCAGCTGCTTTGATTTAGAAGGTTTAAGATTGAAATAATTCTAGTTCTGTACTTAAAATATTGTGAGTTTTACTGTGTTTAAAAAATAAATTCCAAGGATTCCTGTGTGTCATTGTCTTAGTTCTCTAAAGTTCAGAATTCTTGTTTACTTGTTACTACATACTGCTACTGTAAATGCTTGTTTGTAAGAACCTGTACAGAAACGATTTTGTGCCAAGATTAACCAAGAGTAATATGAATTTTGTCTTTGTTTCCAGTCCAGAGGAGCTTCCTGTCCATGATGCAGCAATAGAAAAGGTAAGTCCAGTGTCTTCCAGTTTTTTGACTAGGAAGTAAACATTTACAGATTTATGACTTTTAAATATAAATCATTGTTAAATGAGGAGATGAAGTATTTTAGTGATTTGCATTCCCAAAGAAACATATTCTAAGATCTGTGGTCCGTGAGGCCGTGTTAACTCACCCACAGATCCCTTGGGCCCCGCACAATCTTATGTTTACTAATTGCAATGAGACATGAGTTTTCCTCATCCATTATATGACCTAGTAAAGGAAACAGCTACTTAAGAGATCACACCCAGCTCTGCCCTGAAAGAGTGAGAGCAATTGTTTCTGTGTCATGAGCTGTCATCAGCAATCCTGGCTCGATGGATTGTCCGAGTGAGGTGGTGGCTTTGATGCTGAGGTGTATGTTGCCGTCCCCCGAGGAGTGTAGCGTGCTTTTCTAGTTTGGTAAGTGGTGACAAATATCCTGGCTGCCTCTGAAACGTGATGACCTCCCTTGTAATGTTGAGTTGATAAGCAACCAGGTGTATTCTGGACATGCAAGACCTGTCAGCAGCTGGTGCAGGCCCTGGTCCAAAAATCATTCTGGTACTGGGGCAGAAGTTTGGGAACTGATGTTTTGGGAACATGGAAAGCTTTTGTTAAAATCATTGGGAAGTGAACTTCTGCTTATCCAGGCCTGGTTACTATTGATATTTCCCCTTGGTCTGTCAGGCCCATTGTTGTCTCCAAGACCAGATCAGATCCTTCTTCTTTGTCCATATTGATCTTCTCTGTCCTCAGAAAACTCAAGATAAAATATTTAAAGCTGTAAGTTTAAAATTAGCCCTCTTGGCTGCACAGATCATTAGAGTGCATGGAAAAGGGGTGAAATGACTTGTTCTAAGGCAGCTCAGCTCCCCAAATGTTAAGAGCAACAGTACTACCGAAAACAAATTATTTTGAGCTTCAGTATAGGTCTAGTAAGAAACGCTTCTCATAAAAGAAGGAAACTTTTGTTTTGCATTGGTTTGTGTGTGTTTCCATGTGTGCAGCCTGAAATAGTTGCATTTTCCTGCCATGTTTCATTACATTTAATAACATTGTGTATATATAATTTCATTGCCATCAGAGAAGGACACAGCAGGGACTATGAGCGTAAATATTAGCCAGCTTGCAGTTATTCTGGTGTATGTGTTTTGAAGCTCTGATTCACTGTGGCTTTGTGGTTAAACTTAAATTATTGGAGGAAAATAGTGTCTCAGTTCTCTGTCCCGTATTGTATTCTTGCTGTCTCAGACAAAATGCCAGCATAAAAACTGTATTTATTGAGTCAATGTTAAATGGCAAATCTAGTGGCTTTTTATAATCATTCAGTAATGCTTCTGTGTTAGATTCTTGGTTATACTCCTGATGATATCCTGACCTCTGCTGGTTTGAGGTTTATCTGTCTTCTGTCAGCGGTGTTTGAATCTTTACAGTTTTCAAGATACCATTCACAGGATAATTAATGTGTCATGTTAACGTAGACTAAGACTAAAAGCTTTCTTTGCACTATCTTTTAAAGTCACTTACTTGGCAGAACGATTTATGCACTCCTTTTGCCTTACCTGTGAATTTTGAAAAATATTCCTAAGTCATGTTTTCATTTTGTTTGCAATTTATGTAAAGGGTTGTGTTTCCTTGTGAATTTTGAGTCTCTATTCTTCATATACATTCCAGTGTAAAGCTTAAGCTGGGTTTTCTGGGTCTGTATTTACGTGTGTGTGTATTTATGTGCATAATACTTTTAGAATAGGCATTGTTACTGTGAATGCAGAGTAATTCTGATGCTTCATTACCTTGGGCGGCATTTGGTAACTTAAATGCATTGAATCGTTGTCCTACGTTGTGAACTGCTTAACCTTCAGATGAATCATCCAGCACATTGGAGATAAAACTAGGGGAGGAAAGCTCATGTAGAGGAGAAAAGCAGACAGAGAAGTGACCTCAGGAAATCTGGAGTCTGTGTCTGACTGTTTTTGAAGTGCTATGAAATGTTTTGTAAGTCATTTTCAGTTTGTTTGGTTTTGTCTTTGGTTTACTTGATTATAAATTCTCAAAGGAGCAGTTCAGTGAGTTCTGGTTTTGTCTGAGGCTTCTGCTAAAGCATTACTTTAAGCCTCATCTCTAGCACACTTGCTCTCCAGGATGGTAGAGTGCTGCACAAAAGATGGATGCTTGCCAACTGAACTTCATGCTTTTTTGCTTTCAGTATTGTATTATTTACTGACACGATAGTAAGAAACCTCTTCTGCTTCAGCTAGGGATTCTGTTATTCCCAGTGGCAAAAGTGCTTCAAAGTGTAAAATGTACTCAAAAGGTAGATAAATGGATTTTTTTTTTCTTTTTTTTTTTTTTTCGGGTGACAACTACATGGAACTTGCCTGAAAGACCAGCAGCAGCAGCCCTCTACTCCGCAGTGAGCTGCATCAGATCTATCCGTGTTTTCAGTGTTGCGCCTGTTAGACATGAAAGTGAACATAATTCAGACTGGGGAAAAAAAAAAATAGCTAAAAGTTTTCAACAACTCAACACAGAAATAATTGCTGTTTTGACTACAGTAGCATCACTTGAGAACTGGGATAAATTGACACAGAAGACATAAAAGCTTGAACAAACATACAATTGAAGTGAGCTTCTGGCTCAAAAGACCAAAAATCTTGAAAGTAGATCAAACGTACAAACAAAAAGACTGTGGGAGCAGATAGGGTTTTATTTTTCTTACCAATTATCTGAACAACCTGTTGAGGGCAGAGACCTTTCCTGACTTGATAGCAATGTTATTCCTGCAATCTAAACTATGCCTAGAGAACATCTGCTTTAAGAGATGTTAAAAATGCTTATTTCTTAAAGGGGTTGCGAGTGTGGAGGAGAATCAGAAACAGTGTTGTGAAACCTATGAAATCTGGGAAGCAGTAGTTTTTCTACAGTTCCCCTCTAACCTAACTCTTAAGAAAAGTATTTTAAATAATTTAAAAAAAAAAAGCAATTACCAAATACAGCGTGGGACCTGAACAAGAATGTGAGCAGTTGATTGCCACAAGAATAGTTAGATAAGTTAAGGTTGAAAGAGTAGAGACACTTCTTTCCCTGTAACTTTCTTGTACTTATCTCAGGCTTACAACGGTTTTTTAAATTATTTTTATTTTAATCCAATCAAACCCAGCTTATTTCCAGGACACTTCATGGACTGCATCATGGTTGGGGTGGACCTAAACGGTCATTGTTGTACTTCTGCAAGTGCAAGGCTTTGGGCTTCTGGATTAAGGAAGTCCTTTGCCTGTTTTGTTGCATTGATAGCCAAGAAAGAATGCACAAGTTCTGATGAGTAAAAGCTACAAGTAAAATTAGAATTCTACTGAGACAAAAAGTAATCATTTTCTTTTATATTTTTTTCCCCAACATTTCAGATGCAAGTTGACTTAATGAATATTTAATGAAAGTATTAATAAGTTTTCAGTATCCTGCAGAGCTTTGAAATTAAACTCTTACATTGTTACCAGATTGCATCACTAACAATATGAAACAGAATATCCTTCCTGTCTTTATTAAGCCCTGGATTTGAAGTTGGAGGTAGAGGGGCTGTACATTACAAAACCCCTAAATATTTATTTATATTCATCTTTGAAGAGAAAGCAATAACCACACACATACATTTTTCTGCTTTAGCTTTTCCAGTGTGTATCCTCAGCTCCAAAGCATTGTGAAAGAGTTGAAACAGTGTCGTTTAAAAAATTAAAAAAAAAAAAACAGTTAATACTTAACTTTGTAGTATAATCAGAGACACCTCGCCTACTTTACAATATGTAAAACTGGGCTGTAAAAATACATACTAAAAATCTTCTTATCGTTGGAGCCAACAAAATACAGATTTTTGGCTGTGAAGAGATGAAGTGCCTTGAAATTCCAGGGACTAAAGTAGCTAATTCCAAGTGCTTGTTTGGTTCCCAAATTCAAGAAGTTGATGGCAACTGCAGCAAGGCTTTCATAGGCAGAATGGCAATCTTTAAGGTAGTAGTGTTGTCCTGTGCTTTTAAAGCCATATATAATATAAATAATGTGTGGAATTCACATATTTATTATGTTACATATTGTACTACTTACTATAACTGTTTATTTTGAGAAGATGATGTTTGTTTTGTTTTGAATTCTCATTATATCACCTTGTTACTGAAGTATTCTTGTCAGTAATACAATTTAAGCAAGTAGATCTTACCTTCAGAAGAAATCCTTGATATTAAGATACAGGGTCACTTAGGTAAAAATGAAGCCAAGGATGAGAATTATAGCAAGGCTTTCTAGCCTTTAATGTCCAGAATTAATGCTTATTCCCACTTTTGCTTCTGCACTGTCGTTCTTGCATGCACTTGTTTTTGTGCCTGCGCTTTCTGCCTTTTTAACTTTATACCTTTAAAGAAGGGCTGATTTTCCTGATCACTGGAAAACGGTAGCTAATTGTGTTTCGGGGAAGTCTGGGTAAAGAAGATCATCATTTCAGAGTCAACAACTTTTAAAAAGCTTGCAGCAGAAATTATTTGCCTGAAAATTTACTGACTCTAAAAACAAATTGAAGTTTTTGCCGAAAATATGTAGAGAAGAAGCTCTTATAAATCTTATACTTAAACTCCTCTTAGAAAACACAGTTCTTTACATAGTGCTGAAAAGAAGGGTTTCTACTCGGTTTGTGGTTGGCTGTTGTTTTGGACGTTTTAAGTGAAGTGATGTTACTCTTTGTTGCTGTTCTTAGATGACTGAATAAAACATTGATGATGTTCTGTTAAACTTTTCCCTCAATATTTCTAGAAAAACAGAATTAAAAATGCATTCATTTTGAAAAGATTAAAAAATTCTGATTTCTTTTCAGCAAAAGCACCTTGAAATTGAAAGAACTACAAAATGGCTTAAGATGCTGAAAAGCTGGGAAAAATACAAGAATAGTGAAAAGGTAAAGTTACACATGCTTTTTTCATTGCCTATCACTTCTGAATGAATGTATAACCTTAAATTGGATTGTCTCTGTTTATGGGACCTGAAAAAAACCCCACCAAACCCACACTGAAGAAAACAACTTTTTATTCTTCCAAAATGCAGTAATACATAATAACCCAATAATAATAATAATAACAACCCAACAAAACTGGTGGTCAAATGCAAGGAATTTCTAAGGGCAGTATTGCGTAGGCTCTCTAACATATTCATAGTAATAATTGTGTCCTGTACTGCTTTGCGGTTGCACTGTGGGATTGGAACTAGGATCACACAGCGTACTGTGTTCATGTCTGCAAAATAATCTGTGGAGTGGATGAAGCATCAGACCTGCTTCTTTTGTCTTGCAGAGTGCTAGAAGTCATGGTTAATTTAGACTTTGAGAATGTGAAGGAGGAAAAAAAGAAAAATCTTTACAAACTTGAAAAGAGAGGACACCTTTAAGTGGGTATAGCTGAGTTCTTCAGGAATCATAAATCCCCTTTCAAGGGTTATGAATTGTAACTGTACTTTTTAAAATTCCTTTGTATGCTGGGTATTGTACTAATTAATATTTAAATTTCAAGTTACTCTTTCGAGTTTCTGGTGGTGTCTTATTAAGGTCTATGAGTTTATTATTAATCTTCTCTTCCACAGTTTCCATTTTCTTTCCCTTTTTTTTTTCTTTTTTTGCAGCCCAGGTTTACTGAAGGGCGTAGGATAGCTTACAGTCATGGATCAGTGAAAACCACCTTGAATAACTCTCCAGGGAAACTGATTAGTCATAACAAGGGGCATATTGTTTGATGTTTAAATTATCATGCTTGCCAGCCCAGATATCTCAGGATATCCCAAGATACCTGCTTGCTTTGTTAAAAGGAGAGTTGCACTGAGTAAGTTAGAAGGTAAAAAATATAGGAAGCCATTCAGTGCCCTGTCCCCCTTGGGATAAGTCTGGTTCTTCTGTGAATAATACGCAACACAGTATTCATAATCTTCAAGAGAAGTAAATTTTTTTGATGATATGAATAGGATCTACTTTTGAATGGTATACTTTACACTGTGATGGGCTTTTTTTATTTTGGAATCAATACGGAAGAACAGAAATCTGCTGACAGCTGCGTAACAGTGGCCAGCAGTGCTTACAACATTTCTTGACTTAAAGATTAAAATTACTTTCTATGTGAAGCTGCAGGTGGATTTTAAGGAATTGAATTGCGCATTAATAATCTTTAAATTGCTTTGGGGGGTTTTTAGTTACAGAATTATTTTTATCCTACTCAGACAACAAATAATGGTCTGGTGGTAATGACAGAAAGTGTGTTATGTTAGGTATGCCATTAAGTGTCAAGTGCTTTTACTTGCTTTAAAAGCTGGGTGGGGATTTTCATGTGAATAGTTTATTTGCTGGAATTATATTCTTGGTCATCTTAAAATTCCAGAAGAATTTCATCTGGGAAAAATCTTGCTGGAGAGACTGTATTCCCAACACTGTGTTCTGGGAAGGTTTTCATAACTGTTCTTGTGACTGTTTGGTGGATAATGCACAGAATAAGAGGTTCCCAAAATCAAATTCCCTCTTCTCCTCAACAGAGCTTAAAGCTTGCATTTTCTATTGGAGATTCTGTTGGTATTTTCTGATGCTGCTCATCCACCTGTATTTTGCCGAGGACTAGAGGACAACTGTTACGCATCCCAGGTTACTGCCTTGATGAATGGCACACCATGTTAGCTTACTCCCTTACTAGTCTTTTGTTTTAGTAATTTATTCTGTGCAAAGTGGAAAACTTTAAAGGGAGAGATTGGGACCAGAATACTTGTTAGCCTAATGAGCAGGGAACTGAGATACTTCAGTTCAAACAGATGGAGAAATTTACTCAGCATGTTCCCTACTCATTGTGTCTGCATCTACCTTTGGTTTTGACACTAGTAGCTATGTCTTGCACTTTGCTTTGTTAAAAATACCAAAGCCAGCGGTTGATGTTTTTCAGGGTATAACTAAGAAGCTAGCAAATTAATTTTTTTAATATACGAAGTAAATACATGAAAAATTAATATTTTGTTCCCCAAGTTTTTCTTATAATCCTACTTTCTGTCCTGTCATCTTCTGTGGAAGAAGCTAGAGGTCGTAATGCTTGTGACTTACTTTCTTTACTGTGCTGATTGGGTGATTTGAAGATCAAGGGTGTTTCCAAGTCAAAGGGATGATAAAAATACTTGTGTAACAGCTACTTTATTTGCAAAGAGAATGTTAAATATGACCTTTCAGGTAACACAATAGCTACGTGTTGTCTAAGCAGCAGCGGTCTTCCTCTTCAGCCTTCGGTGACATCAGTCCATGATACACTGACTTAACTGAATAATCCCCTATTCACAAAGCATGCAGAAGGTATAACAAATCAGCTGAGAAGAAAGAGTTTCAGTTCTTGTAACAAATTATAGGCTGAGCTATAAATAGTGGCAGGAGTAATTAAATATGTTCATAAAGGGGATTAACTTTGCTTGAGGCTAGGAAAAATTTTCACTGATTGTTGAACTCTAGTGAAGCACATGAGACTGTAGAAACAAGGGTCTTTTCCTTATTCTTTGTCGCATCTTATGTGGTTAGTGAACCAGAACATGCAGAATAAAGAATCAGCTTCCTCCTACTCTTGAGCATACAGTGGAAAGTCAGACGTTATTTGTCACTGCTCTTCATGGAAAGCATGGTGATGTTCTCAGGGTTGTACAAAACTCACAAATAAAGACAGTTTTTATCTGAAAGTGTGTTGGAAGAATGCACCAGCTTTCCATACTCGCTTTCTTGAAGCACAGAAGCAATAGTTGCAAGAACAGTTCCTGACTCTTGCTTTATGTCTTCATTTGATTGGATGAAGTGGTTAACACTAGAGGAGCAAATTGCTGAAGAAAATGAACAGCCTGTGTCTTAAAAGACTCACTTCACCTGACACTCCCTTAGTTTCTGTGCAGTCACACTGCTCCTGAAATCAGTGTTGTTTAGAAACAGCACTGAAGGGAACATTGCAGCAACAACAGTAATAATGTTGTAGGATTATAGATTATAATTGTAGTGGTGGCTTGGTTTTGGAAAATGGCATACTTGAGAGATGCTTATGTTCTTACAAAGAGAGGGAGAGTAAGAGAAGGTGGTGGTCCCAGGGATAGAGCAGGTAAGTACAAAGTGCAGGACTTTAGGCAGACTGTTTGTAGTGAGCCTTCATAATATGTAGCTGAGAGAGTTTTGGCTTGAATAAATCTGTTCATACTGAACACATACTGTAAATGAATCCATATATTTGATTACATTATCCAAAATTGTCATATGCTTAACTGCAAAATACAGTTTTCATTTAATACTCTTGCAGAGCTGCATATATGCTGCTTCCTTATTTTTTTCCATCATAACTTCGCAAGGAGAATTAATGAGAAAACATTAACACACTGATGTGTGTGCATACGAGATGCTTCAATTTACATCTTACCCTGATACTTATTGCAGAAGAATATCTCAAGAGGGAGATGGGGGCTCTGGGAGCTTCACACTGTTTTCCCATTAGAACTTCTGTGCTTAAACCTAATTAAAAAAAAAGGAGGGGGGCAGGGGAGGGGGAATGGAAGGCAGCAATGTGTGACCATGAGGAGCTGGAAAGAGATGGAAGAGTTGCCACATTGAGACCAGAAATGTGCCAAACTCTACCATATTTGAGTAATGATTTAGAGATAATGAAGGATGACATAATAAAATGAACCCATGTACAAGTCCTTAAAAGTACAGAATCATAGCATCACAGAATGGTTTGATTGGAAGACACGTTAAAGACCATCTGGTTCCAACCCCCTTGCCATAGGCAGGGACACCTTCCACAAGACAAGGTTGCTCAAAGCCCCATCCAACCTGGCCTTGAACACTTCCAGAGATGGGGCATCCACAGCTTCTCTGGGCAACCTGTGCCACTGCCTCACCACCCTCACAGAGAAGAATTTCTTCTTAATATTTAAATCTTCCCTCTTCCAGTTTAAAGCCATTGCCCTTTGTCCTATCGCCGCACGCCCTTGTAAAAAGTCCCTCCCCATCTTTCTCGTAGGCCTCTTTTATGTACTGGAAGGCTGCTCTAAGGTCTTCCTGGAGCCTTCTCTTCTCCCGGCTGAACAACCCCAACTCTCTCAGCCTGTCCTCACAGGAGAGGTGCTCCAGCCCTCGGATCATCTTCATGGCCTCCTCTGGACTCGCTCCAACAGGGCCGTGTCCTTCTTGTGTTGCGGTCCCCAGAGCTGAAGGCAGTAATGCAGGGGGGGATCTCACCAGAGCGTAGCAGAAGGGGAGAATCCCCTCCCTTGACCTGCTGGTCACGCTGCTTTGGATGCAGCCCAGGATATGGCTGGCTTTCTGGGCTGCAAGCACACATTGCTGGGTCATGTTGAGCTTCTCTTCAACCAACACCCCCAAGTCCTTCTCCTCAGGGCTGCTCTCTTCAGTGTGACCATTCAGCTAATTCTTTTTCCACTGAGTGGTCCATCCATCAAATCCATGTGTCTCCAATTTAGAGACAAGGATCTTGTGAAGGAAAGTGTCAAATGCTTTGCACAAGTCCAGGTAGGTGACATCAGTTGCTCTTCCCTTATCAACTAATGCAGTAACTCCGTTGTAGAAGACCATGAAATTTGTCAGGCACGATTTGCCCTTAGTGAAGCCATGTTGGCTGTCACCAATCACCTCCTTATTTTCCAGATGCCTTAGCATAGTTCCCGGGAGGATCTCCTCCATGATCTTGCTGGGCACAGAGGTGAGACTCACCAGCCTGTAGTTCCCCAGGTCTTCCTGTTTTTTCTCTTTTTAAAAATGGGGGTTGTGCTTCTCCTTTTCCAGTCAGTGGAACTTCAGCAGACTGCCACTTCTCAAGTATAATGGATAGTGGCTTAGCCACTTCATCTGCCGGTTCCCTCAGGATCCGCGGATGCATCTGATCAGATCTCATGGAC